GTTCAATCATCTCGGCTGTTTTGCATCTACTTAAGGTACTTTTAGAATAAACTAATGTTGTTTATCTATTTGTAAAATTCAAGGGACTCCAATTATTTATTCACAAAAAAGGATTTCTAATTTACTGCATGTGACTAATTTAGCCATTAAGTTCCATATTGTCAATTCTTGCCTCAGATTAGGGTTTTGCGGGCCACATTTCATAGCGTAAGTACAGATAGATACAACAGCAGCTATTAGCGGAAAAATGATTAACCTGACCCTAACTTAGCACCTACTTGAAGAGTGAGGAAAGGAAGGGGGAGGAATGTTGTCCTTTTCTCAATTGGACCTGCTCAATATTCTTCAACAATTAACTTTGTCTTTATTTCAATTACTATTTGAAGGGATTTGTCAAACAACGGGATTAAGCGCTTGCCCACGGATATTTTTGGCAACCTCACAGAGTTGAAAAGGCTGTAAGTGGCATCGGGTTCTGATTACTCAGTAAAGCCACCTAGTTTATTATTAAATATTAAGTGATGCCTTTGGGTTTGCAAAAAAGCTTTACCCCGAAATTTGGCCAGCAATCACAGTTACAAAAGCTTGATTGGCTCTATAGAAGGGAGGATGAAATACGCTATATCATATAATGATGCTCGCTTTGCTAATTTCCTCACCTGCTAATTACTTTTGTCAAGCATTTATTGTATGTTAAGTTACGAATAAAATTTGATTTACTCTCACAACATTTTCTTTTACGTAAGTGGTAATTATATTGGTGATCTGAAACGATAAGGAGGTATTGCATTAATAAATTAGTTTAACGCATAAGACATTGATGTGCCATATAGCTAACTTGTCACAGACTCTGTACGCTGATTCTGAGAAGAGAATTCATCAGATTCCTTTTAAAACGAGCGTGCAAAGGACACCATTGGTCCAAATTATCACGGATCAGGGGTAAACAGTTGCAACAGTCCACTAAATTATACATCGCGAGAACTGAACTAAATGGATCTTACTTTTTGGTTATTATCCAGATACTAGAATAATCATTTCAAGAAACCATTAATTTCATTTAAGTGGTCTATCTTTTCTCTTTTCATTTTCCCTGCAGCTTTCTGTCCAGTAACAAAATTCAGCATTTGCCAAGGTTCAACAATCTCTTCAAGATAGAAACATTGTATGTAATTCATGTTTATAACGGAGGCTGGAGCAATTAGTGTATCGTTCAATCTTTTTATTAAGAGGAAGCTATCAAAACAGTTTATCATTTTACCCAAATATAACTTCTGACGTAAGGACGCTGTAACAGTTTGCTTTAGGATTCAAGACAGAAACGATAGTCAGCCATTTAAAGAAAAAAATCTTAATGTCAAGTACATGCAACAATTCCCACCATCTTAAACTCTTATCAATGATTCCAGGCAATACGACTTATTCCAAACTGAAGGAGAGTACATCAATCTTTTGTTCATGTCGATCAGTGGCCTTTTCATTTCATTTGAAGTTGAAGATTAATCTAAATTCTTAGGGTGCGATAAAGGCGAAGAGGACTTATTATTATGAAAAAGAATTCATCGTCCCTAGTTTGGAGTAATGTCTATGTTCGCGGCATTATGGTTTGAAAAGTTATACACTGCATTTCACTTACTGAGTAGGTACATGGACGACAACAGCCTCGTGGCCCTGTCGCCTGATCAGCTGCAAGGCCTGTCCAAACTAAAAGACCTGTAATTGAGAACATCGCCTCTATTCTTATGTGAATTAGTTAAGTTTTCAGGAAATCTTAAAAATTTTGTTTACGAAAATAAAAAATGAAGTTCCCAGCAATGACTCTTTACAGATCATATCTTCCCAATATTCTCGATGTATGGCTGTAAATTTTAATTTGCGTAACTAATTGGATGAGTAAGGTTGAGTGGTACAAGCTAAGTGTTATATGTGCCTTAGAAAAGCTAGGAAAGTTGACAACCTAATTTTTTGTCTAGAGTTTCGCTTACTCAATCGAGCTGGTGTACTGCAGTGTATACACCCAATACTTTGTAGGAATTAAAAATGAGTAACATCATTGTATGTGCAATAAAATCGATTTTTTCTTAAATATTTCTTTTTCTGATGATAAACATCTGTCTTCTCTGTTTTTCAAGGGCTGTATATGACAACAAAATCGAATATCTGCCGCGAGGAGTTTTTAAAGGCGGGAAACAAATGATGTCTATGTAAGCAGCTCTTTTTAAACTCATTTGATAAACGAAACTAATAATACCCAGAGCAGTGATAATTTCAGAAGGAATTCATAGCAGAAATAGTACGAATCGCTTTTCATTATAAATGGGATTGACTGAGGGGCACCAATCGTATAAACATATTTCTTTTTCAAATATAGTTGAATGTATAGGACTATTTCTTAATTTAATATTTTCTCTTTAATTAGTAGAGCTATAAGATTGAGACTCGAATAAAGTTACTATTAGTAGTAGTAGTCATGAGGTCATGCAAACCAATCTAACTTAACTGTTGCTATTTAACGGAGACTTTAGCCAGCAAATGGAGTACTTTATAACCGACAAAGTATCAATTTTGGTCAAGTTCGTTACTAAGACGCATCATCAAATACGACTTAAAAAAAATGCGTGTAAGGTCGAGTCTCGATTACCAAAGTTTAACTTTAAAACATAATGAATTGAAGTAAGCAACTTACGGAGGAAGTTATACTACTCGCGTGATACTATACCTTTTTTATTGGTCTCTCGTTTTACAGGAGCTTTCATCTCAATAAAATCCGCTCAGTAACTAATGAAGAATTCAAAGATGTCGCGCCGAGCATTCGATTCTTGTAAGTATTTACTGACTGAGCTTGTTCAGGGCGTACACAAACTTAACGGAATTCTAGTACGAGTGCTTTGCATGGCTCATGATGGTAATCCCGGTATCGCCGTACGCATGAGGCAGAGATGCAGGGGCAGCATTGGTTCCGTCATTGGTTCCGTCACTGGTTCCGTCTGGTTCTGCACTGGTTCCGTCGCTTCCCGCACAGTTCTAAAGACACTTAACGAATTGTTCACCAGATGGGGATTACCAGAAGCTGTCACTACTGACAATGGACCCCTATTCACATTTTTCGAGTTTACAGAATTCTTGCTCTGTCGAGGGATTGAACATCGCGTTACTCTCTCTCTACAATCCTCAAAGAAACGGTGGTGTAGAACGGTTCAACAGGACCATAAAGAGTGGAATCCGGGCATCCGTGGCAGAAAGAAAATCGTTCGCCGAAGCGGTTCGAACGACAATCTGCAACTATCGTGCTACTGAACATACTATCACAGGAACATCTCCAGCGGAGTTAATGCTTTTCCGAAAGTTTATCTTGCCGTTGAGTAATTTGAAACCCCCCCAAACCTCTCAACACGGGGCGACCCCTACTCAGGCCGAATACGTCGCCACTAAGCAGAAAGCACTGAAATCGTACACGAATACTGACGCAAAGCCAGGCTTCCTAAGTTCGATGTTTGTCATTGGGTTAGAGTGAAGAAACCAGTTCGAAGTCACAAGTTGAAGCCCGTCCTTACGGAACCTTTAGAAATCGTGAAACGCATTGGTCCCTCAACCTTTCAGCTGCGAGACAGTACCAAATGGAATGCTTGTAGGCTGGTTCATGTGTTCAAGATTCCGGCTCCGAGTCCCGACACCGGTAGTTTCATCAATGATACTCTGATTTGCACCGAGCCTGATCAGAGTCTGAATCAACCTCAGACGAACCATGATATTACCCATCAGTCCCTGATTGATATGGAGCTGAACAACTCATGTGCTGCTGTTACGCGTTCCCAACGTGCCTGAGGTCTTCCTGTTAGACCTCGGGATTATGAACTCAATTTCTAATTATCTTATGTAGGAGCTTAGCTTTTCTCGTGAGAAGGGAAAATGTAGCATAGCTGTCAAGGTGTTACGTACATACTTGTGAAATGTCATGTACTTGACAAATACTTGTCAAATGTATAGTTTTAATTACGTATGCTACTGAAGACGATACATTTAAGAATTGGGTTGTAGGTTGTATTAAGATTTTTTTTTATGAACAGTATAGTTGCTTTTTTGGATACTACACTGCCCCCGACGCAGCACCACAGTTTCTTTTAATTAGAAACTTAACCCCTTTATTAAGAAACAGAAGTTTTTTTTTTTCCTTTTTCCCTATGACTGAGTCCTCGTCAGTCTAAGTTTTATCACGTTTCGGTATCTGACGAATGCTGGAGTTGGATGATAAAGAACGAGAAAAGACATATATATACGTTAATTTAGGCTCCCCCTTAGGGGCTTTTCAGCCACAATGTAGACTAACTAAGTGCTTAAAAACCCCCACTGGCAGGAGGCAGACGAGTGGGCTATTTACAGAGCGCAGCCGAGGAGTTGAACTAGGGGCAACCGAGAACAAGTCAAGTGAGTGGCAGGGCGGAGGACTTGAACTCGAGACACCGGATCACAAGTCCAGCACCCTAACCACTCGGCCACGCCGCCTCCTTCAAATTCCCAGAAAATGTTACAGCAGGTTAAAGAGATCGTTTTCATTCTAAAATGAGCGAGCATTGTTGGTGAGCTGAGTTATTTTCTTTTAACTCGCAGGTACTTTCATTACAACGACATGCGGGAATTACCAGAAGGTTTTGTCTCCAACATGAAGGAATTATTAAAAGCATAAGTCAGTCGAAACATACTCTAAGTGCCTTGTTGAACCAAATTATTAGAACTAGCATTCGTCTCTACCTATGTATGCGGTACTTGCAAGTTCACCTCCCCTGAAATTGACATGTATGTGGACCTTGTGACCGTTCCGTCCCACTTTCCCAATTTCCCTACCACTGATGAGACCATAAAGTTATCAGAATTCATTCGCAGAGCACATCGTAATTATGCCTTCCGCATTACATTAGTTTGAGAACCTGTCATATCGTCAGCACATTTTCTCCTTTGAGACTCATTCAAAGTTTTAACTCTTTAATTTCTATGAACTGCAGGACTGTAGACACCAACCTGATGTGTTGTCACTTGACGAAAGAGGACGCGGATTGCGATTCTGCCTATGTCGAAAGCTTTGCTAGTTGTGAGACTATGTTCAAAAACCGAGCCCCAAGGAAGTGTATTTGGATTATTGGTGTCATATCTCTGATTGGAGCTGTGTTTGTCATCAAATGGCGAATGGTCTACAGGGAGACAAATATTGCACAGCGAATCATGTTAATCCATTTGGCGGTATCTGATGGGTTAATGGTGTTTATCTGATTATCATAGGTGTGATGGATGCGATATGGGCAGGGCAATACTACTTGCATGACTATAGATGGCGTTCAAGTTTTCCATGCCAGATGACTGGCGCAATTGCTGTGTTATCAAGCGAGGTGTCTATTATGCTTATTTATCTTATTTCTGCTGACAGACTTATATTGTATTCCCTTTCAATGTTGATGGGCTAACCAACAAAGCCACTCATGCGTTTTGCTTTACCATCTGGATTGCCGGTTTCATAATTTCTTTTCTTCCCACTTTTGGCATCCAGTATTTTAAAACCCCTGGTGCAGGTCGTCACTACTATGGCAGATCTGTTGTGTGTCTCCCACTTCAGCTTTCAAATTATGAGGCACCTGGTTGGGAATATTCTGTGGCTGTCTTTGTTGGTTTGAATTTGGCTTTTGTAGCCTTTATCATTGTGGCTCATCTTGTAATAGTTATAAACGGATGTCAGGTCCGGGCGATGTCAGCGAACACCCAGCGAGAGACAGCTCTTGCAAAACGGGTATTTTTCATCATCCTGACCGACTGTATCTGTTGGATGCCCGTTATTGCTATTGGACTCGGGTCCGTTGTGGTAAAGTCATTCAGGACGTAAGGAGATCTTGCCGTATGGATCGCAGTGTTTTTTCTTCCATTAAACTCCGCCATCAATCCAATCCTATACACCTTGTCCACGACACAGGTAGTTACCTCTAGAAAATTTGTAATCCCTAAATCTCAGAGGATAGCAGCCTACGATAATCAACTCTTGAACACTTTACGAAACCGAAGAATTAAGGATTTACTTCTTAAAAACCTTATAGGTTCTAAACAAAACACTCATCCAAGAATTTATTACATTTATCATGGATTTCACATTACTTATATTGCTTTGGTATCGGTAGGATATTACATTACATATAGGGTTTTGGTATTAGGTAGAATTTCACCAATAATTATCCTAGTTATTAGCTAGATCAACATCCTTGAGTAAGCGTTTTTAAAAACATATTTTGTAGATTTCAAGTAATGAGAAAGCAAACACCTCATCGCCGAGGGAGCAATTTAAATTGAATACCCTCGAATGCAGATACGTTCTTTCACATTTAAACTTAGTGATACAAAGCCATCTCGCACGACCTGACATGGCTTTTGGATGTTATCATAGATTAAAATATTTAATTAAAGGTAAGAAAACTTTATTGTCCCACATATAGGTTCATAATGGCAACAGCTGTGCGACTACTTCACGGCAAAGTGTAGTAGAACGCAAACCGGAGAAGGTGTAGGCCTCTGCTGATGTTTTGCTTTGGCTATTGCTCATAAGTTAAGATGGCAACTCAATTCAATCTTACTTTTCTAATTAAGATGTGACAGATTCGGGTCACAATAAGGCTTTAGAGAAGACTCTCGAAGCTGCTGGAGGGGAAGAGGGTACGTGAACCAACAAGAGAAAGATATGTTGGTTTTACTTTGTTTCTTTAATGATCCTTTCCTTTGTTCATTCAATGCCCTTTTGGATCTATACCTTAAACATTGACCTCAGAAACCATTTGCATTGTCTTTCTCAAAGGGTGTTTCCAAGAAGAGAGGAAGGTAAAGCGTATGTTAAACCAATACCGTTGGCTATCTTACCGACCACATCTTTGACGATATTACAAAATCGTTAGTAAATTTTATTGGAGAAAGCCAAGAAGAGACATGACATCGATTGAATAAAATTCCATCAAAGGCCAACCAACCATTTCATCTTTATAAAAAAAAAATAGTCTGGACTGTTTATTTTAATTCTAAATCTCTAAACACGCTTTGTGGATGGCGGGAACGAATGTGTACAACATTGTGTCGCCCATGAACAAAATGCGACTGATACTACAGGAGATAACACCCGTGGTACAGTGCACTTTTTATTTTTTAACTTATTTCTTTATAGTTCAAATCCAGCAGGTCCCAGAGAGTGATGACAGCGATGACAATGATGACGAGTCGAAAGATAAAAGTGAGCATGGGAAAATCGTAAAGCACACCAATCATGAAGAGCCTGTAGAGAGAGATGGGACTGAACAAGGTGAAAAGCCAGAGGATTACCTCGAAGATCCATCAGAGAAGAAAGACGAGCCTGAGAAACACGAAGAATAACTAGAAAACGACATAAAAATATCTGAGGAACAACATGAGGATGACATGGAAGATGAGCCTGACAAAAGAAAAGCAAGTGTCGGAAAACGACCACAAAGAATTCGCGCAAGATGAAGATAACATGGACTATGATGCTGGGGAAGACGAACGGTTTATTGTGAATAAGGGTGTCTTACAACCCTCTGCTTCCACTAGAAAATACGAAATTAAATATACTGAGATCTTTTCATCAATTTGGAGGACTAATGGTGAACAACCTCTCCTCATCACACCTTGCACAATTTGTTAGTTTCTAAAATTTCGTCACTTGGTTTTCCCTTCTAAACTACGTTAAGCGGTTTATTCGAATAGTGAAAGTGCTTTTGCTCACTATAAAGTTTTGGAGCGGTTTTTCTCTCCCGGCGCGTGGCTCTACGGTGCCCCTCTTTATATGACCATCTCGCTATGAATTAGTCTGAGCATAGTATAAGTATTTAAAACAAGGCAAGTTACTGAATAGCTTCTTTTTGCTTTGTGTCCTGTTATTATGTAACAGATAAACACCAAGCAGATGAAAATCCCCCAGCGGCCTCGGGACGAGAGTCTTCAACAGCACCGCTGGCCATGTTTGACGATGACAGCAATCTTGGTCAGTTTTACGAAGCGCTCGATGGTACAAAAGAAACGAGGGTTTAATCAAAAACTCTATTCTCAGATGAATGCATTCTCTATGAAACAAATTAACTTTAAAATCGATTAAGTAGGTGTTTGGTTCTATGAAGGCACATGTAGTGACTCTGAAATGCTGAAACAGTAGTTTTCGTAAATAGTATCAAAATACAAGCTTAGTGTTTAATGTGAAAATGTAAGTGCTCGTTTCGTGCTATATATACCAGTTAGAAATTTGATGAGCGAAATTTAATAAAATGGATCATTTTAGATTATTAGTTGCTAAGGATACTTGTTTACGCGCCAATCTTGTTTACTTGAGGTTCGGCTCTACATGCGCAAGCACTATTAGAGATCAAAAGTATGTTTAGTTCCTTCAGTAGCAGGTAAGGTTTGAACTGTTATAACTTAGTTATTATAGGGGCCCATCTCTGTCCTTTACTGTAGTATTAATTCAGATATTACTTTAATAACGAGAGTGAGCTTTAAAGTAGACAAAGTTTTCCAACCCCTTTTTTGGAGGATCATAAAGTTGCCGACTCGAGAAGTCATTCCAAAGGACTGGCGGAGACTGAGGTTTTTCACAATAGCTAACATTTGAGTTGTCTTTTATATACTTCTTCCAAATGTAATTTTGAATTTCAGTTTAGTTAGCGTTAGATACAGAAAAAGCGGCAGTGTATGGAGGTGTTTGATATATAGGGTCTGATCAGAACAGAGGGCAAACTATAGGCTGCCTGAGGAAGGATTATTTCTTACTCCTTATTCACTTTTTCATTTGCTAAAATTGGTAAGATTTTAAGTAGATAGGTCTGTTATTTGGCAATGCTAAGTTATAAATCGAAATGATTCGATCAAACGCTGATATCACTGCCTTACTTATGACTTGCTTATTACAACCTAAATATTTTACATATTGTAGAGAGATCTTTTGTTGATGAATACCTTACACCTATATTTGTTCAATTCAACCTAAACATCTCCGATGCTCTATAGATGGCTGTGTTGTATTAAAATGCTAAGCCATGAATCATAATTATTCACCTCAAAGTTACCATATATTGCCATCTTACGAATGATTTGTTTTATTCAATCTTAACGTCTTATGATATATTACGTTGATGGCTGTTGTATAGCAATGCTGAGCCATAATTCGTTTTTTGTCTTCAATTAGAAGTTACCACCGATATCTTACCTATTGTAAGCATTCAGTAGCAGGCTGTGTTGTATAGCAATGCTAAACCATGAATGTCATTTATTCAATCTAAAGTTACGGTCCATTTCAAGTTACTGTTGGTATATTACTCATAAGTTTTAATTTTTCATTACAATGGTTACATCTTATTAATTTCGTAGATGGTTACGTTGTAGTACACTGCTAAGCCATTAATCTTATTTACTCAATCTGAAGCTACCTACTAATCTTACTCATGATTTTGTCGTCACAAAGATAGTGTAGGTTCCAAACGGACATTTTATGATTTTAACATGACGCAACTTTTTATCAGGCCGAGCGAGTGTTCGGCCATGTGTATGATGATTTTGTTCTGAAGATTGTGAATGTGAATCATTTTCATCCTATCGATTTCGACGAACAATATTTAGTTATTTAGAGAAGGAACCCTCAGTTTGTTTGTAAATGTTCGTTATTTCGGTTTATTTGGGCTTTGTATACTTTCGTTTTGCCTTTATTTGCTTCGCGTTTGCAAGTTTCGATTGTGTAATTCTACTTTCAGACACATATTTGTATGCCTTTTATTTCGATGAACCTGGATTAAAAGACTCTAAAATCTACCGATCGATTCAGCGGTTACAGATAGTTTAGTTTATGGTTTCGTTGTATTGCAATAGTTAAAGCCATGAATCATATTTATCCAATCTCAAATTACTTTTGATATCTTACTCATTTTTCCATCACAGTGGTAACTTCTGATATGCCTATTAGATGGTTCTGTTGTTAAATACAGCTAAGCGTTGAGTCGTATTTATCCAATTTCAAGTTGTTTTAATTGTTATCTTACTCATGATTCGCTAGTCTGCCAAATAAATAAAACCATAAATAAATTTTGCTTTATTCTAGATAACTATCCTTGAACCTATTCACCACTAAAAATGACTAGCATCTAATTTCTTCTTACAACATCACCCCTTATTATGGACTTTTGTGGACTACAATATCCACGAACCTTATCATATTCTACTGGGCGGTGTAGGAGCGCATTAAA